TGGCCGCTGTTTTGATTGAACGTTGTATGGGAGCCCGCATGTCAACATCCTCCCAGAGCAGAGAGTGTCGGCTCGTCCCAAACTTGAATGATGGTGGCCCGAATGCGGTCCCAGCACATTGGATGCTCAATGCCCTGCAGAGGATGAATGACTCCTGCCCGTTGATAAACAGTTGAAGGTTATTTAGAGCAGGATGCTCACGTCAGAACACGAGCATCGTCCTAAACTACCTCGAGGAAAACATCCAAAAGGGGCTGCGCTGTATTCGTACACGAGGTTCCTACCGAGAGGGAGCTGTTGGCGGCAGATCGTGGCGTGGGCATACAATATGACAGCAGTGAGCGTAACAAGGGTAGAGGGCAGGCCAAAAGTGGTGTTTCAGATTTCCTAGCAGATCTTCTGACAAGAGTCGTCCGAGGCTGTAATTGGAGAAGAGCTAGGGGGCGTCAAGCTGGAGCATAAATGACCAGGATCTTCCTCACGCCTTTTGTGGTGTTGCTTGCACCTGGTTTAAAGTGGACCTGGGCGGTTGATGTCGATGGCCCCATTAGGAAACACGTCGCAAGCTTTGCTGGCTGTCTCTCTGTCTGCTGGTGGCTCCGTCTCCTTTTCCCCTTCCTCTGCGAGCCTCTGCGAGAGAGAGAGAGAGAGAGAGAGAGAGAGAGAGAGAGAGAGAGAAAAGTCTCTTTCCCCAGGCGGATGATTCGACGAGATGCCTCGACGAAGTTGCAGAATGGACCCTGTTCGAGTCAGGTAATGGCTACGTACTGGTATTTGTTGTCGGTCGGCTTGTCTGAAAATCCCAATGCAGATGAGTTGAGTGTGTGAAGGTTGTGAGTGGTCGTTATTCGCATATAGAACCATCATGCCGCCATCCACCAATTTCGAATCCAAAGATTGCAAAGGGGGCGGACGCAGCCAAGTGGTTCGCGATGTCAGAGGGCAACCCCTGAGCGGGTTCGAAAGAGCATAGAGCGTCCAAGACAGGGAATCCGGCATGCCTTTGGCGCAGTCTGGCGCAGTCCGGCACGTTGGTGGCTTCTGTCAATTTATCTATGACAGCAGGAGGTCACTGTGGTTTCTGACATTGGTGGCCACACAGAGCTAGTTTGGTTACCCAAGTTGGGAGGCAAATTCGTCACCCAAGGTGCCATGCAGCGGAAAGAGCCCTATTTCCGTGATATGAGCGACATCGTCCGAAGCTGAAATAATATCGTACGTATTTTATCATGGCAACTGGAGGATGAACTGTCGTCTGCGCCTGTATATCGAGATACGAACTCAATATTGGACCTAGGCAAGTTGCATCTAAGTTGTGGGTTTGCGGCATGGCCGGCTGACAAGGGTCGTCTGCATACCTACACAGTAGAGCTGCAACTTTGAGAGCACGAGAAACATGAGCTGGAGACGTTTCTCCGAGGGAACGGTGTGATGTGTGTGTGAGTGTGTTGGTAGGAGTCGTCCTTGGTGACCGTTGGCGTGGGCAGCGTAAGAGACCCTAATGGTCATACGTGCCGGGTTAAACTTCAGTCAGTCACCTCCCTATTTGTGGTCGCCGGCTCGCCAGATCCCTATTCTCCGATTGATGGGCAGACAACCAACTGGCTGCGATATCCTAGTATGCATGGAGGGATGACACATCGAGTAACAGTTTGGAGTATTTGTCGACAGTGGACCCATTGTGTTGGATGAGGCGCCATTCAGGTTTGAGGAAGAAAGAAATAAAAGCTTTGTTGCTGAACGATGGAGGGGAGAGCCATGGTTCGGGGAGTCCATAGCATCTAAGATACCACGTCTCTGGGTTGGTATCCGGTTATCAGAGCGCCACGCTGGTAACTTGGCGATGATGTACCTAGGTTGTCAACCTCAGCCCCAAAAAGGACAATGATAGGAGGTGGAACCAAGGGCTGGGGTCTCATATTTGACTTGACGCCGGGCACGTTATCGATAAGAGCCGGGGTAGCTACCGTGCTCGGCTGCTATCAAGATTGGGGTGCGAGATGGAAAAGGTATGTCATCAGAGGATAAAGCGGTAGATGTCGCGAAAAGTGGCCGTTACTGAACACGTGAGGATTCGGTAAGGTAAGGCAAGGCAGAGTGCCTAGCCAGTCGGCCCTCTGAGGCCCAACACTAGATGCACCTGACCGAGACTGGTTCTTCCGGACCTCGCTCCGTCGCGGCGATTTCTCCAAGATGGACTCTGCTGGTGGCAACGGCGGATGATGAGTCTGGGCTTCGCACTCAGCTGTTCATCTTGCAACTCTCGGGACGGGAAGTTCGGTCTGCGGATGAGTACACAGTGTAAGGGTAGGTTGGTAGCCGGGGCGCGCACACGTCTTCCCGCCAACCGGTCTGATGCCCTCCCATTCCTGGAATTCCACGGGCATGGGATTGTCAGCGGGACGTGGAAGGTTGGCACCTTCCACGGCATTGGAAGTTGGAAGATGTGGAGAGGCATACAAGTAACAGGCTAGGAAAGGACCCACGACCCCCTACTATTATTCCTATGCAGACCGCCGCGGGTGTCTGTATCGTCGTCCATCGTCCCTTTCTCTCTAGTTTCCTCCGGCGGCTCCACTAGGGCCGGGGCGAGGAAAGAGGGAAGACGTGAACAGGGAAGGAAGAGGCGGAGGGAGAAAAAGAGGTGGATGAGACCACATTACAAATTCGGTGCACGGTGCACAACAGACGATGCTTGATGGGAATGTGTCTCAGTACCTACAAGTAAGTAGGTAAGTAGACATGAAGGAGCAACGCACCACAAGAAGAAAGAGGCGAGCAGGGAAAGCATGACAATTGGCTTGACTAGTGTAGCGACAACGAGCGTGGTGTGTCCTCCCCCTAAAGACTGCGCCAAAGGTCGATCGGTTGCCGTTTCACACTGACCTCAGCCCTCCGCTTGACCCCGTTATGGGCGCCGCGTCGGGGTCGGCCAGTCCCTGTCTTACTCTACAGGTGCTGCCCTGGTCTAACTGCCTTCAAATCTACCTGTACGGAGTACGTGTGTAATGGAAGAAGGGAAAGAGACGGATGGAAAGAGAAGGAGAGGGGAGGTACACCGTAGAGAAGGAAAGAAGGAGGTGACGATGGACTAGACAAAAAGGCTAAAGAGGCACTGACGTATGACTGTGGCCCCGGTAAAGTCATGTACCTTGTCGGTACCTACCTATGTACATAGTATTCGCAGGTTCCCCCTCCCCACTGCCCCCCGCCCCCCTGGGGCGGCGACGGCGGCGGCGGCGACGGCGGCCTGGTTTAGATCAGGTACGGAGACCTTGCTTGGCCTCGTCTTTTACCTCGCACCCGCCGTTTCTTTGCTGGGCCATTTTTCTTCATGCCCGATGTGGCACTGTAGGTATAGTACACCTGCCTGCCTAGTCCAGCCCACCTGGGTCAACGCTGCTGTTGTATCCACGAGAAGCATGGAGACAAGAGGGGATTCCAAGCGACGGATAGATAGGTAGGTAATTACTAGGTAGGCAGGTAGTGTAGGTAGACGAACACTGACAGACAGACAAGGCAAGCCTTGGCTGCCACTACTGAGAGGCAAGGTCCCTTTCCCCTGCCTGACATTCCCTTCCTTTCCCTTCCCTCCCTACACCCCTAACAAACCACCCTGACTGGCCAACTCCCGTCCCGTTCTCCTACACTCGCACCTGGACCTGGACACTCACTCTTTCACTTGCACCAGCGCCAGTATCAGCGCGCACCAGAACCAACCAGTACCGGCAGCCAAGCCAGAGTCTCCTTTTACCGTTCCATCCATCAAACTACCACTGCGACCAATCCAAAACCTCAACTCACATATTCTCCTGCTGCTGCTCCTCCTCATTCATCCTCCCGTCTTTCTCCTCCACCTCCCCTCTCCCACTCCTACCTACTCTCCCGCTTCCAATCCCCGCCGCCAAACTCTCTATCCCTTTCGCCAGGCCTCATCGACCCTATTCTAATGAAGTCTGTATATTGAGACCGTTTAAACTTTTTGCTTCTTTCCTCGCTCTCTTTTCGTCTCGCTTATAAGAAAATATTGGAGGAAAGGACAACTAGTTTGTTTGGTTTTTGCCCGCGCAACAGTTCGTCAAGGAACCGGCCCTGGGATTCCATGAAATCTGGTCAGAGAGAAGCCCGACCAGACGGAACAAGCAGCACTACGCTACGCTACGCATTGCGCATCGCAGCACCCACATTGACCAAGCCCACTGCCGCTAAGCTACGCGACCACAAAACGGCCACCCGGGAGTGACTGGCAAGAGAAATCTTTCCATCACCCACCCCAGCAGCCCAAAATCGTCTATAGCCCACTCGTCCCCCCGACATTCCTTGACCTCAACCACCCCCCCCTCCCCGACGACGCCTACTCTCCTTTTATTTTCTCGAGCACCCAGCTGCCTTTCTTCATCCGACTGGCTGGCCTGGCGTACCTTGTAATACCTGGAAAACACGCACGAAGACAACTTTCAACTCCTTCGACCTTTTCGACGAACATTCCTTAACAACATACGAGTCTCCTGTTTCGCCCTTCTGCTCCCGTGAACCATCACCAATCTGGCCACCTAAGCCAAATTCGACAACTTGGCAACAGGTTCGGATAACCTGCAGAAGACTCGTTCTGAACGTCAGTGGGAATCGACATAGCATCGTGCTGTCTCCCTCTCCTGCGACCCCCGATTGTTGAATACGAGCCGTGGCGGTCTCGAAGCTGTCCACAAAACATTGGGTCCAATTATCCTCTGCGCGTGTCCATTGTCACCTGGGAGAGCATTGCTCAATCCTCCACCGACAGCAACACACTGGGAAGCTCTAGTCTCACAACATTTTCCTATGAGGTTCGGCCTAGATAATTGATAATGTCAACTAGATCCGATCACTTGGCCATTGGTTACCCGCCCCAATCTGCCACACAGAATCGGTCGACTTCACCGACCGCCAACACATCCCCCATCGACTCTGCCGCTGCTTCATCCATCAGGTCTCCATTCGGCTTGAACCACTCTAACAAAATGGCTAGCGCTTCGCGATCAGGGGCTGGCTCTCCGTCGCACGAGATGCCAGGTTCCAGCAGGCTGTTCTCCAAGAGGTACGTTACTCACCGCCGGTCCCTTACAGCCCCTCGTAGCTTTTCTCGCTGACTTTTTCAACACTAGAGCTCGCGAGATTCAAGCCCAAGAAGGCGTGCCTGGATTGCCGGTAAATCCCTGGGGCGGTCCGCCAACAAGCGGCAACTCCACGCCCCTTCGCGAGAACATTCCCGAGTCGCCAACCGATGGCTTCCCTGACTTTGCTCAACTCCCCACACCTGATTCCTTGCCTCAGGCGAGACGAGCTCGTGCTGGAACTGTACCCTCGCGGTTCTCGCCTGGTGGTGCTGGCAATGGCTTGCTTAGCATTCCTGCGATGGCCCCCAAGTCGTCGCGACCAACGCCGTCCCACAGCCCCTTTAAATCTTCCTCTCCTGGCCTCGAACCAACCGAGACGGCCTCCAACAACTCCGCCCTGCTCTCGCGTCTTCGTGCAGGATCGATGCCCCAGAGAAGCCCATTTGCGCAGATCCCGGGCACAAGCTCGCCATTTGGTCCCTCCATCTTCAGCAGCTGGAACCCCGCTGGTACTGTCCGCGACCGGGGCATGACACTTGCGAGCATTGCTAGCATCGGCTCGACAAACGGGCCAAGCTCGCCGACCCAATCCCAGATTTCTAGAGAGGGAGGCGGAGAGAGTGATGTTCATATGAGGACGCTGGATTACTTGGGACTGGCTGAGACGCCCCAGCCTCCCCGCGCTCAATTGGCCACCCCGTACATACCGAGCTTCAACGAGTTTACTAAGGCTAATCGTTTCCGCTCATACTCGGTCAACAACAAGGACAAGTATGCAGACGACGAGGAGGACGACTTTGAGGACATGACTCTCGAGAGTCAGTACGTTGCCCACCTTCAGGACCAACTCGCGGCCACCAACGCTGCTATTCACAACCACAACTTGGCTGTGCAAGCTTTCGCGAACCAGGCCACCCGCCCCCGCGCCAGAACCGCCGGCGTTCTTGACACGCCTGGTTCTCGCCTCATGCGTACCTACATGTCTGGCAACGGGATGGGCAACGCAGTGCCTCCTGCCGAGATCCGTCTCCCAGACGAAAAGGAATTCGATGACCTCCCTCAAGCCGTGGCTGCCATGAACCTCGGACGGTCAAGCAGCCGCAATGCCGGTCTGCTCAATGCGGAGGATCAGGGCCTCGAGGGTCCTACCAGCGCTCTCTGGCTCGGTAGCATCCCGACCTCCACCACGACATCGACTCTGACCGAAATGTTCAAGTCGTACGGCCCCATTCTGTCTGCCCGCGTCCTCACACACAAGAATTGTGGCTTTGTCAACTTCGAACGGATGGAGAGTGCCATCACCGCCAAGGCCAGCATGAACGGCAAGGAAATCTTTCCCGGAGCTGGCCCGATCCGCATCAACTTTGCCAAGCCGCCCTCTGCCTCGAACACTCCCGGTCACGACGGGGTTTTCCCTTCGCCCAGCCCCGACCCTTTCTCCAAGAACCAGGATACCCCGCAGAATGCAGCCTCTGGCGCCGCCGCCGACAACGGGAGCACAGCAGCTCAGTCAGCCAATGCAGCTCCCACTGTCCCCCCTTTGTCCGAGATGACGACCGACATTTTGCGAATCGTGAAGCAGTTCCAAGCTTCGGACGAGGATGCAGCCAAGATCTCCCGCAGCCTTCAGTCTTCTATCCAGTTCACCAACTTTGTCGACGAGATCCCCCCCATCCGGGAACCAGCCCATACCCGGGTTCACGATGCCCCGAGGCTTAGAGATATCAGGAAAAGAATCGACAACCAGAGTCTGTCTCAGGCTGAGATCGAGACGACCGCCCTCGATATGCTGCCGGAGATTGCCGAGCTGTCATCCGACTACCTCGGCAACACGGTTGTACAGAAGCTTTTCGAGCACTGCTCTGACGAACTCCGGGATGCCATGCTTGCCGAAATCTCTCCTCACATGGCAGAAATTGGTGTACACAAGAACGGCACTTGGGCTGCCCAGAAGATTATTGACGTCTGCAAAACTCCTCATCAGATGACCTTGATCGTGGAGAACTTGCGCCCTTACACCATCCCCCTGTTCCTCGATCAGTACGGCAACTACGTCCTCCAGGGATGTCTCAAGTTTGGAGCTCCTTTCAACGACTTCATCTTCGAGACGATGCTCAGCCGGATGTGGGAGATTGCTCAAGGCCGTTATGGCGCCCGAGCTATGCGTGCGTGCTTGGAGAGTCACCACGCCACCAAGGAGCAGCAGCGAATGCTTGCTGCTGCAATCGCTTTGCACAGCGTTCAGCTTGCTACCAACGCTAACGGAGCTCTGCTGTTGACTTGGTTCCTGGACACCTGCACGTTCCCCCAGCGCAGGACTGTTTTGTCACCTCAGCTGGTCCCCTACCTCGTACACCTATGCACTCACAAAGTTGCGTATCTCACGGTGTTGAAGGTAATCAACCAGAAGGCCGAACCCGAAGCGCGCGACACCATCCTCAAGGCACTCTTCTTCACACCCAACGACCAAGTCCTCGAGGCGATTCTCAGCGACCACGCCTGCGGCGCCACCCTCATCTTCAAGGTTCTCACCACCCCCTTCTTCGACGAGAGCATTCGCAGCCAGGTGGTCGAGAATGTCAAGAACGTGCTGGTACGCATCAAGGCGCAGCCCGGACAAGGCTACAAGCGCTTGATGGACGAGGTCGGTCTGTCAACTCGTAACAGCGGCGGTGGCGGTGGCGGCGGCGGCCGTGACCATGGGCACGGAAACTCCAACTCCAACAGCAACAACGAGCAGCGGCAGCGACCGACTTCCCGCCAGGCCAACATGAACAGTCATCACCAGCAGGCGGCCCACGTGAGCAAGCAGCAGTACTACAATCCGTTGAACCAGCCTGCCAACGCTTCTAACTACGATTTGGGCTTCGGTGGCCAACGCAACGAACCTGCCGACGCAAACATGCCGCCTTTCCCTCAGTATGGCGTACAGAACCCAATGTACAACCCGTCGAACTCTCCGATGCCGACTCCTGCGAACTTGCAGCAGCTGCAGTACCAGCAGAACATGCTCAACCGCGCAACACCTCCTGTCAATAACTTCTTTCCCCCGATGCAGGCAGGCTTTGGAGGTTACAATAGCCCAAGTCCCTCGATTGACCAGTATCGCAGCCAGAATCTGGCAAACAGCAGCCCCATCCAGCCGCCGGCGAACCAGCTTCCTCAGATGCCGCCAGTCCAAGCGCCGTACGCACCCCCTGGATTCGGTATGAACATGGGCATGACGGGCTACGGCGGTTACGGCAACATGGGGGGCATGCAGAGCATAGCTTATATGCAACAGGAGCAAGTCAACGGAAGACGTGGCCGAGTAAGCCAATCCCCTTTCGCTTCCCAGCAGCATCAATATAAGCAGCGGCATGACTGACACGAAGGCTCAGAGATGATTCGAAGGCGATTTGTAAAGATGAACTGCCGGTCAGAGACGGTCTGACTGGTTCATGCCGCTCTTTTGTTTTGCTTGATAAGGGATGGCTTGGTATGGGATCGGCACAGGAGTTTAGTGGATCTGGTTCGTCATGTAAGAATGTTTCCAGGAGTACACGCCGTCTGATGTGCCAGGAAAATGCACAAGCCACTACAGTTGAGGAGTAGGTCATGTCTTGATGATAGACAGGGCAACACCATGAAGCTTGCGCCTCCGGATTAGTGGTCGCAGCAACGAGAGGGGTTTATATTTTCGCTTCACACGGGGCTCCAGTAGCTCATTGCACTTCTTCACCTTCCTGTCCTTTTCTTTACAATTACTTGGGGAAGTTTCTACGCACTTACTATTACTACCCTCACCATGCTTGCGGCGTGGTACATAGAAGGAAACCCCGAGGGAGGGCGGCCCGGATGTTGTCCTGAAGCCCCTCGCGAGGAAGGCAGACGCCAGAGAGAGAGAGAGAGAGAGAGAGAAAATGCATTTAGCTGTTGCTGTCACAGTCGAAATGTCACCACGAACTGTCCCTGGAGCCGAGCCGGTGGTTGTTAAGAACAAGACGAGCAAAGCATGTGGCATGTGTATGGGATTCCGGTCATGTAGAAGAAAAGATGAAAGCAAGTATTCATTAGGGTTGGTCGGTCATTCATTTATTCTCTGATGCCGAGGTGGCTTCCACCTTCACTTTGCCACCAGGCCTTGTCACCACCTTATCTCACCCACGTTCGGGCTCGTTTCTTCATTAGATGGCATGGGAGGGGAGCAAGGGTGTTAGTACTGTTAGGTTAGTGGGCATTGTCGTAAAACCTAAGTTGTTATTCCAAACGTCCGTCCCGCCTTGCTGGTGCTATGCCAGTCCTGATTCTTCTTTTCGTCGTCGTGGACGATGAAAGGAAAGGGCACGGTAATGGTAGGAGGGTAGGCATGTTATGGGATGGGATGGAACAGCTCATACGGTGTAGCATTCTATCTGATGCCCCTTGGGGCTCTCTCTGTTTCCCTTAAGTTCATTCCCAACCCTAGCAGGGGTCAGGCCAACCTAATCGGCCAGCGCGGTCCAGAATGCATACTCTCTCCTTTTCCTGCTCTCCCCCTCCCCCTCCCTCTCTCTCCACCTGCCTCGAAAATAAGAGACGCCCTTGTCCGCTTTACCGTCCCCTGTTCCCTCAGTCCCGAAGAGGGAATCATTACGATGGAAAGTAGTAGCCAATAATACAAGGTGAGGCAAAATCAAAAGGAAAGGGGAAAACAAGAATAGGAATGGAAAAAAGCCGCCGCCTCAACACGCATGGCCCATTCCACTTCCCCTTCTGCCTCCACTCCAATACAGGCCATATAACCAGATGCCCGAAAAGCACACGCATCCCCTTTGTTGTCCACGCTCGCTCGTTTGTCTGCAATTCCGACTGCAAACTCAGCGAGAACTAAAAAAAAAATTGCTGGGGGCATGGATGCAAACGTACCCTCCCTCAGCAGCAACGCTGGAGATTCGTAAGAACGTTGGGATCGCTTTCTCGACAGCTGTTCGCGTAATTGACCGTCTACCAACCGTCACCCCTTGGGTGGTTGTTTTTTTTCATCTCAATCGCGAAATGATTTGTTCCTCCAAACTCCAGATCCGTGTGGGGTCATATCTTAGGGAATCATTTGAGCGATAATAAGGAAAAGGGACTAGGCAATGGGTTTACCGCGACTGATGGCACTGTATATCCCTTCGTGACTCCAGTGAGGGAGACTGCCTAAGAAACTGCCGTGCGTCGACAAATATAGTGTTGAAAGTAATAAACGATGTATTCAAGGCCGCTCAACAATAGCGACCTCGTCAATATCCATGATGGCCATTTCGTCTTCGTTCCTGTCGTTCGGAATCTCCTGGGATGACTTTTCACCCAGGCTGTTGATTGGTTCCGGATTATCCTGGGTGGTGGTTGCAGGTGTTGGCAAGTCGGCAGGGGGCTCCATGGACTCGTTTTTGGTCGAGGATGAGTCGCCCTCGGCGCTCTCAGTACCGTATGTGTCGTTGTAGTCCATCATGGTTTGCTCACCCTCTGCATCATGTGCACCAGCAACCTGCTGGCCAGCCCCAAGAAGGCTTCTGATGCGGTCTGACATGGCGTCCATCTGGGCCAGCATGGCGCGGAGACTCTGCTTGTCCGCTGCATTGATATGACCGCTGGCGAAGTTATCTGCACTTCCACGCGCCATGAGCGAGAGTATAGCTGGATCGGCAGTTGACTAAGGACATGTCAGTTAAATGTGCAGCTAATCCATATGGCGCACCTTAGCTTACCAGCAGGGCCTGTGTCAGGTCGTCGAGCTTGGTGGTTGGCTGGCTGGATGCCAATTCGACCAAGTTGAGCACTGTCTGCTGCTCCGCGCGCGAACGTGCACCCAGAGATATACTGGCTGGCTGTGGCTGGGCCTCGGCCAAAGACGGTAATCCATTGATGTAGCCTGCGCCATCCTTACGAAGCCTATAAAGTTGTTAGCGTTGTCAATGACCTATATTCAGTCAATAGCGCCAAACTCACTGAGAAATGAAGTCGAGAACGACGCCCTTGGCAGGTAACTTGTAGACACGCCCAAAAGTCTTCACATCGTTCCACCCTGCCTCTTCTCCTTCTGACTCCTCCTCTTCTTCAATCTCAATGACACCATTGTTTTTCATGCCACGGCTGAAAGCCGGGGTGATGGCAGGAGCTCCTTTGATCTTCCGGAAACGGTGAGCTGGTGCAAGCTCTTTGGGCAGCTCAGCCAACAGATCGTCTACGTGCATCGGGCAACGCCATGTCCGCAACACAGGAGGGATTGCCAGCGGAGGGTCAAGGCAGTCCAGATGCCAGTAAAGGCCGCATTGACTACAGGGAAGAATGGCACGATTGTCGGCTGCTGGACGTTGGCAGCTGTGACAGAGAACAGCAGAACCATCGGCGTCTCGAACCTTGAAGAAGTCCGGGGCTTCTTCATACCCTTTCTTCCTGTGGCAATTGTTAGCTGTGTTTTTCTCGACAATGGGGACCAGTTTCAAAACGAGGTGCTGCCGAGATCATCGGATGACAAACATCGGAATTCATCACTTACTTAGGCTTCGCTGGAACCACGATATCTTCGTACTCGCCCTCGGGGCCAACTTTGACACCTTCAAAGTATAGCTGGACACGCTGTGGCAGCTTGAAGGCTTGGGGATTAGTCTTCTCCAGACTGTTCAGCAAACCGCCAAAGGGACCCTTCTGTTCGGGTACCCTGGTGGGGTATCTGTTGCTGAAACAGACATTGCAAAACCACTCCTCGGGTAGAGTGTCGCCCAGGCCAAGGTCGACGCACTCAAAATGGAACGATCTGGAGCAGTTCTCGCAGCAAACTAGGTCCCCAACACCACCGCACGCCGAGCAATAGTCGTCGTTCACATCCTGACGGAAGTTAATCAGCAACAAACTCTCGGAGGTGCGAAATGAATGAAATGAGCGTGAGCATGGGTGTGGGTGCAGGCTGGCCAGCACAAATGAGAGGTCGGAACTGGCCGCTAAACTCAGTATCCCACAGAATGAGCGCCTTGGCCACCGAAATCGATTGCGTCTCAGGCAGCCGAATGCTCCTGTACTCCTCCGTCATGCCCACATACCCCCGGAGCTGGCTGCATTCATTGGCTGCACTCCTCACGGAAGCATATGGAAAGACTGCAGCCTCACGCTGGAATGGTTTAAATGTGAATTGCCTGCTTACCTGGTTCGTTGGGCCTCCATTCGCGACAGATGCACCGCCCTCGCCGCTAGGTCGGGGTACGCCAGCCGCAGTGCCTCCTTTCTTCTTCATAGGCCTGGAAAGACGGGTTAGTATTCGACCAGGTTCGACTGAAGGACAAGCTGTGGTGAGGTCTCTAATGAGGATGACAACGGCAATGAGAATGCCGGGATGCGGCGCTGCCCAGCTCGCCGCCCATGGCTGCCGGAATCACCTCGCGAACCCGCGCCACCACGTATCGACGAAAAGGGCAAGAGAACGATGATGTAAAAGGGGGCCAAAGAATACTCACGAGGTTTTGATGCGCAGACCCGTCCGTTGCTTCTTCGTTGGACGAAGGTTCGTGGGCGTCGCGGCCCTAGAGCTCGTCGTAGGCGTGACGTCGTCAAGGAATATTGGCGCAGTCGGAGAGCTTATATTGTCAATCTCGTCGTGTGTCCTCTTGGCTGATCTCGTGGTCCTCGTGCTCAGGGTCAGATTAGGGGTCGGGTTGGGAACGGGCGTCCGAGTTGACTTGCGCAGGTTCACCGCTGGCGAAGAGGCAGCCACGGAACCGGCCCTGCTTCTCATGTCTGATCCACGAATGTGGCTCTCAGGCTGGGGCGTCTGGCTGATGGTACTATCGCGTGCATGTCTTCTGCGTGCGGTGTTCGCATCGTCGCTGGGCAACACACGGTGAGCCTTGTCCTTGCTAGAATTCTTCTTTCCAGGCGGTTTGGATGGTGGTGCTGTCGTCGAAAGGTTGGGGAAGATGGGTGAGGAAAGTCGACCAGGCATGTTGCCAGCTCCTGCAGCTTGGGATACATTTGGGGGGAGGGTGGGTGAGTTTGGGTTGGATGCGTCAGACACGCTCGTCTTAGTAGCAAGGGATCTGCCGCGCCTCTTCATTGGCTGGAGGTCGATTGGCGGTGGTGCGCTGGTTGAGGCGGTCTCGGTGTCGGCCCCAGCAGCCGTGGCAGCCGTCGTGGCAACAGTCGTGGCACTGTGACGGCGACTGTGGCTGTCCCCTTGCTGAAATCCCACTGGAACGGGCGGAGAGCTGGGAGAAGGCGAGTCGGGTGGCAACGACGGGGACGCAGAGAGCTCCGACAACGACGAGTCGCTGCTTGCCGAATCTCTCCGAGCGCGCCTGCGTGACGGTGTCGTGGCGGCCATGGTCGTCTCGGCCGCCAGCAAAGTAGGCTCGTCATCCATATCCACGTCGTCAAAGGACGATTCGGGTGTTTTTCTGCTTTGGGTGGGCTTTTTGGTCGGCGTTGCTTCCTGATCGTCGGATTTGGCAGTGTCGAGCGAGAGAAGATTTCCGTAGGGTGCCGGTTTTGGCTTGTGAGGGGTGAAGCGCGAGTTGGTGGAAGGAGGCACAAAATAATAGCAGGCCTGGTTGTCCTTCTTGCCCTCTCTCTTCTTGTCCTCGATAAGGCGCGAAAACTCGTCCAGAGTGTCTTCGTCGGCTGTTTGGTGGAAGACGTCCTCCAGCATGGACAGGAAGGCTTGGTTGGAAGAATTTTCGTCGTAGAGGGTCCGGAGTGCCCACGCAGTGGGATAGCGATAATGCCGGAGCGCCTCCTCGACTGCGACCTCCACGGCCTTTTCAACGATGTCCTTGTTCTCAGGCGTCGACTCTGAAGGCTGCACGGCGTCGCTAGAAGGCGCTGCTTGATGGACTGATGAAGATGCGCGGCGACTTACCGAGGAGCGCGACAGACTCTTCCGTGAATGCGAGGCTGATGCACGACGACCTAGACCCTTTCCACCAGCAGCTTTAGGCGTGTAATCCTCGTCGTCTTCGTCTTCGTCCAGACCACATGCAGGCAAAGACTTTCTGGCCTGTTTCTGAACCGCGGCAGGAGGTGAAGGAAGGGACGGAGGTGGTGTCTCTGAGCGCTTTGCTGCTGGCGCACTTGCTGCTGCTGCTGCTGCTGCTGCTGCCGAGGCAGCGGCTGCAGCGGCCGAACTTGCTGAGCTTGACTTCAAAATGATCTTCCTGACGGGTCCCGCGCCATCCTGACCCGGCCTCTTCGTCGCCGGTGCCTTAGGAAGGGCTCCGAGGGGCGCCATGTTCTCTGTGACGCCGTATCGCACCAATCCAGCCTCCTCAAAGCTCGGCTTGCTCTGCACCGTCGGCTCCAGCCATTTCTGCATGAATGTCCTCGAGGCCTCGCTCGATCCATTCGGTTTCTTGACCGGCTCCGTTCCTCCATTGGCTTGCTGGTGCGGACTGGAAAATCGCGACCGCGTGGCTCTCGTGCTCGTGGGCATCATGGCAGCAGGGCTTTCGGGGGCCCCTGACTTCCTCGCCTTCAACCAGACAGGCAAACGCTCCGACTCGGACGCCTGCAATCGCGTTAGTTCGTGTCTTTGTAACAGGATATAGTTGGCAATTACTTCTCTGGTCTTTGAAGGCATTCAGCGGTTCGTTTCGGGCGCGTTCCCTCCACTTTGCGACGCGAAGGGCTTGGGGGAGCAGGAGGGATGGGAGGGAAAGGGTGCGAAGCTGCGGGATGGACCTCGAGGATTTTCGTTGGCGACGGACTGGGGGCTAAAGAGCTACAAGCTGCTTCAGCGGAAGGTGCTCCCGGGCAGAATATCACTTAGGCAGGCTACACGACGAGTACGGCCGACAAACAGGGGGCGTGGGGGGCCGAGTCACAGCACTCTTGGGGGCCCCTTAGCTTAGAGCCACAGCACCACCCACAAGCTGACCACTGCTGGCCCGGTGACTTACACATACTTTTGCTGCACGTTGGCGTTAGCCAAACTGTCTCGTCTCCGCCTACATACCGAACCAAGATGAAGGCTTAGAGGACGTCGCTTGGTCTTTATCTACCGCACGCAGAACCATCCTCTCGAGGAAAGATGAGTATTAGTCGTGCGTTACTCGCCCCGGGCTCTCGCCTCCAAAGGGGCTGGGTTCTGCGGGAACTCACCAAACAGCCACCATCCATCCGGCGGGTCTCTGCCGTATCGACGACGACCAGGGTGGGAGAACCTCTGGAATTGGAGCAATCTCGTGCCGCTCATCCTCGTGGCTCGCTATTCCCCCGGCCGACGACTTCTCCTGGCGTGTTCAGTCTCATCGACGTTTCCTCCCCACCCACCCTTGTCGTCCTTCACACTCTGTTTCCTCGATTGGCAAGGCATCGTCACTCTGCTAGGTATAGCAGCACATAGCAAAGTAACCATTCCCCTCTCTGGATTCTTCGGGGTCACTCATCACTCAAGGGTTAGGTCCAGCGATTCCGGCAGTCAGCCATGCTCAAAGGTCCGAGATGAAGTGTATGCAGATGACTTGTCTTTGTTCGGCGGCAAGTCTCCATCCTATTCTCTGCCAAAAAGTAAACCAGCCGGCATGTTTGGAGCTGCTTGCCGGGCCTCCCGGCGGAACTGCCCAGGGCTGCGGGTGCCGCTGGCTGAGCGAAGCTTCAGGCGAGCGAGCCGCTCCTCGGCATTCCGACAAACAGTTGCGCAGCCAGCAAGTCGGCCAGTCAGCCAGCTCTGGCGTGGGACAAGCAAAGCGAGCGTTCCTATTTCCGGCCTCATCCTGGCAGAGATCATATCGACTGCCCCAGGAGCAAAATCACTTATTTTGACTTTCACGACAAAACAATTGTGGGCGCAAAATCGGGCCGCCCCATTGCTCCTCTTATTGACAATCACCGCCGTTTCCCACTTTCGGCTTACTCCTCGTCGCTCTCCTCTTCCTCCTCACCGCCTGCAGCAGCAGCCTTCTTGGCGGGCTTCTTCTTCTTCTTGTTCTTGTTCTTGCTCTTTCCGGTATTTCTGGAAAGAGGTTGTTCCAAGATCTTGAGGACCTCCTCGTCCTCAATCTTTTTGTCCGACTTGACCTTGCTGAGGTCCAGCGCAGGGGGGGCGCCGAGCTTGGTGATGCCGTTCTTGGTGATGGCTGCCGCTGTGTTAGCACTCTGACTATTTCAAGCTGTGCAACGAGAGTATAGTAAAATTAAAAAAAAGAAATTAAAAAATAAAAAGGAAAAGAACAAAAAAAGGAAAAGAACAAAAAAAGGAAAAAGGAAAAAGGGGAGGTTACCAATCGTCGAGAGGTAGCGGGCGACGGGGGAGTTGTCCTTGTCACCGACAACCTCGTACGCGCGGAACACGTTGCCACGGACACACTCGACGACGCCGGACTTGGCATCACGCTCATCCTCAAGCTGGCGCAAGCTGAAGGGGAAAGTACCGAACTTCTTCTGGACCTCGGAGAGGATCTTGCGGGAAGTCGGGCGCTTCAGGCCGTAGTTGGTAGTGGTGCGTCGGTGCAGAGTAGTTCTCTGGTCGAAAGTCTTGACCTTGCCGGCGCCCAAGCTCACGCCCATCTCGACACCCCAAACCTCACCGACCTCGGGGACACCGTCGCCCTTGGTACCCTCAGCGGGGGCAAGGACAATCTTCTTCTTGCCCTCAATCTCGTTGCGCTCGAACAGCCATGAGGTGGTGCTCTCAACGAGGTTGCAGTCGTAGGCCTTGACAACCTTCTCGAGCAGGCTGGTGATCTTCTGCTGCGAGGGAGGCTTGGCGGCGGCGGCCTTCGCCTTCTCCTCATCGGTGCCGGAAGCGAGCAGGCCGGGGGGGACGATCAAACGGAGAAGCAGTTCGTTGGCGTAGTAGTTGGCGAGGAGCAAGTCGGCAGTGCGGCCAGTGATCTCCTCACCGGACTTGTCCTTGGGGGCTGCGATGACGGTGTCGCAAACAATTGAGCCAAAGCCATCGATCTGAGCACCAAGCTGGATCTTGACGGGCTCGCCCTCCTTGATCTCAACGTTGGCCTCTGCCTCATCGGAGGTGAGGGGAGTGTAGGGGGTCACGAAAGAAGCCGGGGAGATGGTGGTAGGGTGGGAGAAACCTGCGCAGGGCGATGAGAGTCAGCAATGTTTGCGACAGGCAGCGGCGAGAAGAGACAGACCCTTGTTAACCTTCTTTCCGCGATAGACCTTGGCGAGCTCTTCCTCGATGAGCTTGTCACCCTTCTCACAGATGGTGACGATCTTCTCGCCAGGGACGACGAGCTCGGCGACAGCAGCCAGGACCTTCTCAGAGATCTGAGCAGCGGTCTTGTACTTGGTGAGCGTGTCGGGGTTGTTGAGCGTGTAATCTATGACATGGTCAGCGACTGCGCATTTCGTGTCGAGTCCATGGCATGGCGGCAATGTAGCTCGAGTGTCTTGAGTCTCCTAGGCAGGGAGAGGGAGGGACCCTCGTGTGCTTTTGCATGGCTGGTTGCTCTGGGTGATAGAGGGTAGCAGCAGCGTGGACTGTGCTGGAGTGTGTGACGCAAATGCAGCAGGAGCACGAGCAGGAAGACACGAGTAGGAGGAGCAGGCGCCGGCGCCGGCGCCGCCTCGAGGGGTAGATGATGAAGGTAACAAGATAGCTAGCTACAACAAGGAGAGCGAGGTAGGTACTGACCGGTTTCCTCCGACATATTGGCGGTATTTTCTGGGGGTGGGTTGACTAAAAAATCAAAAGGATATCTCAACGATAGTGATGCACCGGTCCAGATCTCGGGGGGCTGAACTTTGGGAAAAGAGATGCAGGTGCAGTGCAAAGTTGGTTGTGTTCCAGCGCAAGTATTTTGACGACAAATACGTCGATTTTCAGGGCGGGGAAGGAGGGGCTCGTCGCTGTTTGTGGGTGCTCGGGCAGGTCAAGGTCAAGGTGCGGGTGAGGGTGTGGTTCAAGGTCCAGCCCAGCGTGATGTGCACACTACCGATCTATGGTGGAGACTATTTGTGCAAGCAAGGGTTACTTAAAGTCTCCTTACGCGTATGGTGTGTGTTCGCGTGCCGCGTCAGGGCCATGAGCCGCCGCCACCTTTTGAATGAGCGGCCAGCTGGTTACCTGTTCTCATGTGGCTCTTCTTTTTTATGCATACCATACTCGCACTGGGGCGCGGGAGAGACTTATGCGCCAGCTCTTGTTTTGGCGGTGGGTCGCATGCTGAAATTTTGCCTGGGTCTGGGTCTGGGTCTGCAGCTTGCAACTGCTGTGAGGTCATTGAACTCTTGGAGAGACGAACAGACACACACACAGAGAGAGAGAGGGAGATAGAGAGGGAAAGAAAGAGACTGAACCCAAGGCGCACGTACTGCGAAAAAAGTAAGAAAGGATCTTGAGGCTCGGCCGAGTCCCAAGCTCCCCGAGGGGCAACTCAGCCGAACTCGGAACAACCCGCCCCGTCTATACCTATGGGCTTGGAAGGCCACACGCTGGTCGTACCGTTATGACAGCTATACCATGCGAGTGCTGAGTGAATGGCCTCATTTTTGAACACCACTAGCAGTGGGTTCATTCACCGCTGCGTTATGGATACTCGAGTTCCTCTGAGTGATGAAGAGGAGTCTTGTCATGTAACTTGTCCAGCAGATATCACAACGAAGTAAGGCCCTCTGAGTCACCTATCAATCACAGGGTTTCAAAATGGCTTCACTTTAGAGCCAAGTGCTTCTTGCTCTGACAGCCAGCCACACTGATTGATGAACTTTGGTGTGGCGCTTGTGAGGCGGTGCGCGGCCACGGATGGACGAGGCGAAGCGAGGCGAAGCGAGGAGAGCTCAGAACGCGCTCAGGACGTGACCAAGGATGTACAGCTCTACCAATTTGTATGGGGAGGTACACGGTTGTAAATTTCACTGTACCATCGGCGCTGGGACCCCTGCGAGCCTGGTATTGGCCAGTCCGCATTAACACCGTTAGGTCTCTTGCCAGAACCTGCCACATATATTGGCCGCGAGACACTGCCCCGATACAACTGATGCGTTAGCCTATTTGCGCCAGCCTTCCCCAGTCCAACACCAACACGGAGAACAGGAGAGACTGCGACAGACGTAGCAGAATCCACCTCTTACTCGAGCCCCAACGTTGAAGCCATCGCCAATTGGCAACCGCCACGACACGCGCAATACGAGCATAGACCTGCTTGCGCCTTTACGTCCCGAGCTCACGGCAGTCGCATCGCTGCGGCGATTCGGGAGGCTGCACTTTTCCCCAACATGGCCGCCCAGCCATCCACGTTCACGCCCACCGCGGCCGGCGCGACAGCATCCTCTTCGGCCTCCACATCCGCGTCCGCCGCCAACGATCACGATGGCACGCCCCAGTCGGCCGCGGCCAAGGCGCTTCCCGTTCGTAACAGGGACTCGTTCAACAAGCTCCAGGTCGAGCGCTACGTTACGCGCGATTGGTATCACTCCATCGCGATGAAGGATGCCCAGGAGCGCTTCGAGAAGGACATGCAGCAGATGAGGGATAAGATTGATGACTACAACATCGTCAAGACCCAGCGCGTATACTTCCCTCCGAGCAAGCTGTACGGCGAAGGTTACCGCGGCTTCGGGAACGGCTACACCGACATTGACCCCCGTATGAGAGCGCCCTTCCCAGCCCAGGTCATTTATCCGAGCCAGAAGCCGCGGCCGGGGAAACGCCAGTCGCATCCGCTACGATGGAAGAAGAAGGAGCTGAAGAAACAGGCGGAGCAGCACGAAGAGCTCGTGCCGGTACGAATAGACGTTGACTGGGAGAAGATCAAGCTACGCGACACCTTCACTTGGAACCTACACGACAGGATAATCCCGGCCGAGCTTTTTGCGCAGCACCTCGTCGAAGATTTGGGCGTCCCTCTGGATGCCCAGCACAAACCCGTCCTCGATCAGGTCATCCTGCAGATGCGCGACCAGCTCAACGACTTTTACCCCTTGGTCTTCTCAGAAGAGGACGCGCTCGACCCGGAGCTGCCCTATTCTGCCTACAAAAATGACGAGATGAGGGTATTGATCAAGCTCAACGTCACTATCGGCGGTGTGACCTTGGTCGACCAGTTCGAGTGGGATATCAACAATCCTCTAAACTCTCCAGAGGAATTCGCCGCCTCCATGACTCGCGACATGGCGCTGTCTGGCGAGTTCACCACGGCTATCGCGCATAGCATTCGAGAGCAATGTCAATTATTCACACGGAGCTTGTACAGTGTCGGACATCCCTTCGATGGCCGCCCAGTCGAAGACCCCGATCTAGTCGCCGCCTTCCTACCTTCTCCACTACCGTCCGTCTTCAGACCTCAGCAGCAGGCCAAGGACTATGCGCCATATCTGTACGAGCTCAGCGACGCCGATTTGGAACGAAACGAGGTCATCTTCTCCCGAGAACTGCGGCGCCAAAAGCGCTCCATCAACCGTCGCGGCGGCCCCCAACTTCCAGACCTCAAAGAAAGACAGCGCACGATCAGGACGCTCCTTGTTTCATCCGTGCTTCCAGGAGCCGCCCCCAACATTGAAGAGAGCACATTGTACAAGCGCGTTGCTGGTGCGCCGAACACTCGCAAGCGGCCAGGAGCCCGCGACGGCGAGGTGTCCGATTCCGACGACAGCGAAGACTCTGGGCCGGATTCGCCGGGCGTCTCCCAACTCGGCGGTGGCACGGCCAGGACCAGAGGGCTTCGCGGGGCTGCAAGCGCTGCTCAGCAGAGGATTACGAATCTCGGCCGCTCAGAAACCCCCGAGGCGAGCATCATTCACCACCACGAGACTCGCAGAAACATTGGTCGCACGCTGCGTGACACTCGCGACGAGACTGAGGAGCCTAGCCAACTGATTGTCACACTGAAAGTGGGCAAGGACAAGCTAAGGAGACTACTCCAAGCCCCGAGATCAAGGGTTACGCCGAGCGGATCACAGACTCCCTCTACACCCGCACACACTCGCATACCCAGCGCTGCTGCGGCGGCAGCGGCGGCGAGCTCGATGCCTCCGCCGTCTACGCCAGCTTCCAACAGCCAAACGCTTCCTACCACGCTTGGCACGCCTCTTCCTCAGGGCCAGATCGGTCGACAACCTGCACCGCCACCCGTTGCTGGTCAACCACCACCACCTCCGGTAAGTAACTACATGATACTTTGACTTGGCCTCATAATAGAGACCAAGTATTATTGGAAACGAAAGCTAACATTGGTCAGCCTCCGCCACCTGAATGGCTCAAGGACTGCTTGCAGCAGCTCAAGAATACCTACACCTTTGACAACTTTGAGGGCATGATGAAATATTCAGCCATCAATCCGGACACTGAGATGCCCATATCCGTACCCGCAGGATCACAGCCACCAGAGGGGGCCAAATGGATGTTCCTTCCGCGCATTCGTTGTCTTGACTGTCCTGGCAAGCTGTATACCCCTGGGCCTGAGATGACAGCCGGCAACTTCGAGGTCCATCTGCGTAACAAGCAGCATCGTCAGAAGGTGGATGCCAGAGTGGGCAAGGACACGTCACCCGCTGCTATCGGAACATCATAGGGTGATGATACAACCGTATTGGTTCTAGACTGGAATGTCTGGGCTGAGTGAACCCGAGCATAACGAAGCCACATTGGCAACTCGGCCCCGGGTGGGTAACCTGCTACCACCGCTCGCCATTGGCTGGTGAAATGAAAGATAGAATGGCAGCGCACAAGGGGCAATACTGGATATCCTGCTAAATGCATCTACAACCCATCGGCAAGACCAGGCCCTTATCATCGCTTCATTCGGTTCATCCATTATCATCCGCAACTTCACAAAGAAAGTCTGGGCACTTGAAGAGCGTATCCTTTAAATGGTTGGCAACATATAATGCTTGTGCAAGAGACCCTGTCTTCGTTTATCATTTCATGTGTTGCTTGTAGAACAAAAGATATTATCGCATGGGCATCATGGTCATGGCCAGGAGCTGTCTGAGAGAGGGCGCAGAGAAAAGAGAAGCGAGGGGACAAGCATCAGATCGATCTCGTGGCTGAAGGGGTTCTCCTTTTCTGTCACAACGGGTTTTGGGAGTTCATATTCTGCTGATCTGGCAGGATAAGAATTGGCCGGACTTTTTCTTGTCAATTGGGCGTGTCTGTATTTTTATAAGGACTGACTGAAGGGGAGGGTGTTAAGAGACAAAGGAAGTTGACGGCTGCAACTGTACATCCGACTTTTGCGAGCGCAGCGTCTTGCTGGAGGAATGTTGGTAGGAAGAACAATACCAAGGAGAAGCTCAAGATATCAACATTCCTTGTATGGGTTTTATTCTTGTTGCTCGCGTGTGTGTCATCAACAGAGCGATGTCTCCCCTCCTGGCAACTCAATCATACTGCGTTTTGTTGCAGGAGTATCGAGGTTATTTCATGTGCCATTCGATGCATCATCCATCGTAAAGCAAACACTCGACTTGCCACAGAGCGTAGATACATTGAAAACCACCAGCGAGTCACTGGTACTTATCAAGTCACTTCAGCAAGTTCGTCATGCTGCAACATTCAACCAAAGTCAGATACATTGTTAGTGAGAGCTCAGTTTAGCCCGAGCCAGAGGGGGCCTTCAAAGGACCACAAATACCAAGTGCAGCTTTTCCTCTTCCGACTCCTGGTGAAACCCGCGTTCATCTCAGTGCAGGTCTCCAAAACGTTGCCCTCTGAGCTTCGACAGCTCAAGATCAATACACCACAGGCCCAAAGGCATTTCCCAACAAGTTAAGTGGCGATTGAGCCTTTTTCTGGGTGAAATCTGCCTGCCAGCTGTCTATTTACGCAATCGCCCGAATTATATATGAGGTTTTGACAGCCGCTTCCATCGCGTCTGCGTCTATAAGTGCCTTGACTGTGGAAGTCAAACCCAAGAGCCGTAAGTATTTGAAAGCCCTGGGCCGCAACGAGTAAGTACGCTTTAACCAGGAAAAAAATCATGTATCTACGATAATTGATGTTTCCGTATCCCCCCATGAGCGGACAAGTACAGTCCGCCTTGTACAAGTAGGAATCGTAGCAAGTATATCCCAACAAGGTAGTAGTACCGTTTGCTTACTTCAACCGTGGCCAGCGACAGCATCAGCAATGCCCAGCGAACAAAGCCTGTATAGGCCCATCTTGTATGGAAAGAGTATATTAGTCGACACGAGCCGCAGGTAAAGCGAAATGCTTCCGCCCCCGTCGCTAGAAACAAGACATCAAGCACGATGGGAATCTGGCAGCGCCCTATATCAACTGAGCCGGTACCTCCGCGGCTGGAGAAGGCTAAGCTTCCCTCCGAAAGTCGAATCGGCGGTACGCGACTTACCATGATCTATCTAGCTCGCTGCCCTCAAGAGGTGCAATCATGTGTAATAGCTCCTAGAGCGTCTTGGTTCCTTCCGAATGTAACCCTTCCAACGCGCACTACGTGTTCCACGACACCACCATACTCAGCGCCCCCGGATTACCAGGCCTGGTCATTTGGCTGTATCAGGACTGGCACTTGGACAAGCTTTGCTTGGCAGCGGGTGGCTCTCCCCCCGGACGCTGTCTGTAGCATCTCGTCCTTTTAACATTCCGGGATAAAAGCTTCCAAATTTTCACGTAAAAGTTGCCGTGCTGCTTGATCAAAGTTTCGCCTCCGACGAGGATGTGGTTATCCAAACAGACGCACTCCCTCTTTTCTTTTTACCCCCGACTCTCTGGAGGGGTGGCAGGCTTTGAATTCAATACCGGCTAAATATTGTGTTCGCCCAGTTTCCCCAAATCAACCTTTGGGGAGGGTACTAAGAGCCGGAGGGTGGCGTCCGTAGAAATGTGACGTGGATAAAAAGGCCTGCTGTTCCCCCCCTGCCAATCACTGGCTTCTCGGTCCGCCCGACATCAGTTTATATTGCTCGTCATCTGCTATCGTCGAACGGCGCATCCAGCCGGTCACTAGTGTTCGCAATATACTATACCCAATGTCGCGATTCTCGCGTCCCGAGCTTCCGGCACGAATCCTCTCTACTGAAAACGACATATAAATGATGAGCCCGTCTCACGATCATTCAACACCCCCTCGTTTCTCATCCGAGTCCTAAACGACGCTCGCTCACATAGTTAACCAAACCAAGCTGCCAAGATGAAGACCGCCGCCCTTTTGTCCCTCCTACCCCTCGCGTCCGCCAAGGTCCTCTGGGATGGCCGCTTTAACGACCTATCCTCTTCCACCGACCTCAACAACTGGTCCTGGTCCAATCAGGTTGGCCCCTACCAGTACTACATCCACGGCTCTGGTGACGTGACGAAGTACGTCAACCTGTCGCCCTCGTACAAGAACCCCAGCGACGGGGCATCGAAGCAGGGAGTCAAGATCACGCTCGACAGCACGGCCTACTGGAACGGCCAGAATATGCGTCGTACCGAGCTCATCCCTCAGACCAAGGCTGCCATCGCGTCTGGCAAGGTGTGGTACCACTTCAGCATCTCGCGCAAGGACGCCAACGCACCAAGCGTCTTCCGCGAGCACCAGATCGCCTTCTTCGAGAGTCACTTCACCGAGCTCAAGAGCGGATGGATCAGTGGCGAGCAGGGCACCAGCAACAACAACTTGCAGTTTATGGTACAGGGCAAGAGTCTGTGGAAGACCGAGTGGAAGCCGGACGTGTGGCACAACGTTGCCTATGAGATTGTGAGTCCAGTTTCTGTCGCCCTATTCTCCCACAGCTCTTCTTTGTACCCTCTTCCGTTATGGTTTGACGAGGGCGGACCGTAAACGTAGTCCAGGGAGGCAAAGGCTAACGGCAATGCGGCGTAGAACTTCTCCAGCGGAAGTGTTGGCTTCTGGCACTCCGAGGGCAGCGCACCCCTGCAGCAGGTTGTAGCTCCGGTCTCCGCCTCGACTTCATCCAATGGTCAGGACTGGCATCTGGGTGTTCTCGAACTGCCTCGCAGCGGCTACTCCGACACTAACGAGGACTTTTACTTCTCCGGTGTCTACGTCGAAGACGGTGCCATCACCACCTCCGTCACTGGACCAGGTAAGCCTCAATAACACCGACCAAGATGCCAATGGCTGACATTTATCAACGCAGCTGCGTAGGAAAACCCCCGGAAGTTTAATTCACGACAGTGCCTGCGGATGGCAGACTCGATGAACATATATCGCCCAACCTTAAGTACATATCATTCTTGCAACGTGGGGAAAGTAAATTGGTAACCCAGAGTATTTGGTTTCATATGCCAATGTTTTATCTCAGATCGGGTTTCAGTCAGTTTACCCGCCGTGCCGTTTGTAAAGCCCGTCCGTGTGAGCCTTGTCGACCCAAACGCTATGCATGCGAGAGTCTTGGGTCCCATGAGTAGCTGTGTATGCCTGCCCTGCTACACGGCCAGTGCTCGGAAGCTAGATGTTTTCGTGCTGCAAACGCGATTCTTTGTCGGCACCATTGTAGTGTGAACCGGGCTGTAGGTTGTGAACTCCGTTGCAGGCACCTGGCAAGCACCAAGAGCGGTGCGTGTCATGCCGGGAACTGGGCCGAGGGATGGGTTCCAGCCAGTGACACCGGCCCAGTACATGCAATACTGGGTCTGGTCATCGCAATACTTGTACTTGCAGTCGATAGAAGCGGGAGCGGAAGCAGCCATAGAACTGGATGCAACGTACTGCTTCTTGTCCAGAGTCTTGAGGTCTTGGCGGTCTTCAATTAGGATGGGCCCAGGGGGTTTGCTCAGTGAAGTTATGGGGTCGTTGGGGATATGGACCTTGACTGGGTCACGGCCGGAGAAGTCAGGTCCGTAGGTGCACGTCGGGGTGCTGTCCTGGTGCCATTCGTGGTCGTATTTGATAGTGGGGGAACCGTCAACAGTCGCCGTGGTTGTAGGATCGTCGGTTCCGATGTTGATCACGATTGACTCAGGCTTTGCGGTGTTGATGGTCCAGAGAGGGCTCATCTCAATAACGCCAGGGGTGGTAGCCGGAGTGTCCGTCGTCTTGGTGATGGCAGTCGTGACGGGTGAGGAAGACGCACCGTGGGGCTCGACATTTTTACCCTTGAAGGCGGCGACTGCGACTACAGCTCCAAGACCTACCGGCGTGATTGCGAAGATGATGAGGGCAGAGACCGTGCCCCGCATTGTGAACGATAGAACGGCGTGTGGGAGCTTAGAGAGGACTGTTTGGTGCCGTTATTGATTAGATGCGAACAGCCGTTTTTGCTTCTGGGCAAACAACCCTCCCCAGCGGAAGACCAAAACTTGTAAGAAATATCTTGAGATCTGCGAATACCTAGTTGGTTGCCGGGCCGAGATTGCAAAGTTGAAGAGTTCTCAAAGGAATCAACGACGCAGAATATAAGTTGCCAAATACCTCACCTGTTGAAGCAGGTAGGAGTTGGGCAGTGGGAAGACAAGAGGAAGGGATATTGCAAATGAGAGCAACTTGGGGGAAGAAGCCCGAGAGTCAAGAAGCTTTGCCACTGTTCGAATTGCCCAACGAGGGTCTCTTATGTCAGGGGGGGTAGGAGAGGGATATTGTCTTCTCCAGAGATTGTCATGGACCATCGAGGTCTAGTATACTTACGTTCGCGTTTTGGTCGTTTTATCTATCTTTATCAAAAGGGAAAAGCGGGCAGATGCGAACGAAGATCAGAGGGAAAGCGCTCATTCGAGTGACCAGATTCGCCTCCGTAGTCAGTCCGACGTGTTGCACAAGGCGGATGGATGTAACAGAGATACAGTCTAACCGAAGCCCTCGGTCAAGTGATAATTCACATACGAACACAAACAGAAAGGGAGAGAGAAAGAGAGAAAGAGAGAGACTCGTGTTCTCTACAGAAGGTCAGGGGTGAAGAAGAGGGCATTCTATAATTGTTTCACTGCATACTGATATGGTATATGGTGAACAGGCTTCCTGACAACTTAGTTATCTTCATCCAGCCGAAGGTTAGACGACATGGCGTTCCGTGTTTGCAGAATGCCGGTTCCCGTTATTCAGGTATTACATCGCCGCCGAATCGTGCGTCCTGACAGAATGTTGCCAAGCAAACTAGCCAAGCTGCTGGCCTCATTGCTTTCATCGCCGCGAGGGAACATCAACACAATGGAAGCCTAGCAGATGTGTATCCAGGAGCGGCTTAGGTGTGTAAAGACTCAACATTATTTACTACAAGCAACCATGGGCTGATGATTATTATACAAGCAGTCAGTTGGGCCAAAGCTGCGTCCTGATGGGATGATCTAGGAAGACGCCAATTGCGCAGCGGCCTTGAAATACAGTGTGAAGGTGATGGCCATGCTGGCCATCCACGCAAGACTTCGCAGTGGGGCAAAGTTGCGGTTGTCCTGCAGGCGCACATAGACGATGTTGTACAAAGCTCGGCAGCCAATGTAGCCCAGGGTCAGGATGTTGACAGCGTGGGCATCAACGCCGGTCACGTTGGCGGCCACGACGGCAGCAGAATAGAACCCGAGCGTCTCAAATATGTTTTCGGACGCGGCCTTGGCACGGAGTATACGTGCCTTTGTCTAGTTCGTGGACGCGTTAATGATTGAACGGGTTAGGGACCATGTAGGGGTCGGGCGAGTGCTTACAATCTTATCCAGCTTGTCGTCGGCGGTGATGGTGCTCTGGAGCTTCCGTGGGTTGGAATTGTCGTAGCGCGGTCCCGATAACACGGCGGCATAGACATTGGGCAACATTGCCATCACAAAGGCTGCCGGAACCTACGTGCGATTAGCTTGAGAAGCATCACAGACGAGGGAGTTCCACTCACAGTGTAGAGTGAAAGACCCTTCTGGGCAAGATCAAGACCGAGTAAAGACATCTTGATGGGGCGTGACAGGGATGCTGAAGTAATGTTAGATCGAAATGAATCAGGTTGCACGAGATTAGTTGGTATATCCCCGAACTTGGGCGTCAACTACACATACATGGACAGAAGGTCTACCGGTATTTATTCAACGTGGGATCCTCGGAAGCACGGGCTGCAACGTGGCTCGACGGAGCATTCGGCGACCTTTGCTGAAGGCATGTAGGGGGATTGCGTAAGTTGGTTGGTCTTGCAAAGTTCCTTATTCGTATCGGATAGTTCCAGAAAGGGGTCGGTGCCAAAGGTCTGTCACTGACAGCATCTGCGATAATGGACGATTGCGAGAATACTACCTCGGGTTGTCTGGTGGTATGAAGGTTAGTTAATTTACAACTTTTCCTGGTGATGACACTTTTACAACACGATACAATGGACATGTCTAGCAGGTGCAATGCTGTATTGGCTAGTGACGCCTTGACCTCAGTCGAGGTACTGATGGTCGTGATGTCACATCCGAGTTGGCATCCGATTTTTGTCCTTGCATAACTCACAGGATTTAACGTTATGCAAAACATAAAATAAAACAAAAATACCCCAAGGTTCGAGCCCGACCCTGTCATTGGGTGGGGGGGGGGGCGGAATGGTATCACACAAACTGGAACCATTCCGATGCGTTTTCTTTTCTCCGTTTGTCAATTTGGTGAACCCACACATTCTGTTCAGCCTCCAAACCGGGCACGTCGAAACATAATTGTTAATGACCTCATCGAATTTTCATACAGCATCCGAGGTTTTGGCCAGTGCATTTCGATTCCCTTCTCTGCCGCGCCGTTTCGTTTGAAGTCAAGGTTCTCACCCACGGGGAATGCGACGTCTTGGCAAAAGCGCACTCGCATCCCTAGCTACCAAACGGATCAGATCATCAGCGCCCACTCGTTTTTCACTACCACTCCTTTCCGAGTACCCAAGAGTGAGAACTCTCACCCGAAGACTCAAAGAATTTAATATTACTGAAGATTTCCCATTAATTGCGACGGCAAAGTCTTGACAACATTTCACTTACAAGGTCATTAAAAAAGCCGTTTACAGACCTCACAACGGCCATCAGAAGGCCTCTCTCTCATTGAGGGGCTTTTCGTCGGGGAGTATGGGCTCCGGCCAATAACTGCTCTGAGCGCAGCGACCAAGGCATCACTGTGGTTTTTCCCACACAGCTTTTAGTACTGGGCATTCTCATTTTTCTTCTCCCTTTCCCGGCAGGGTTCGACACAGCTCGTCAACGATGGATGGCCATGGTAAGATGAGCCCGTCATGTTCCTTCGTGTAGTGAGCAATCCGATGTTGCACGCTCTCGAAAACTTGATATAGAAGTTTTTTCCCCCTCAAAAGTCACTGACCGATTTCTGCAAGGGCACCATTCTGAGGTATGCGACTGACTCAGAACTCACGAACCTCCGTTTTGGAGAAACTGCTCCGTGGCGGGGCCTTGAAAAGCTGGGCAGTGCGCTGGGCTTTCCGGTGAGTTTTTTTTTTCTTTCTTCTTTGTAACGAGCGTTCACAAAGCGCAGAATTCCTCGACTCATGTTCCCAGGTGTCCTCAGTCTTTTCCTGGTTCGGGCTTCAATACGACAACAGTAGCAGGTCTGTCGCTCCCATCATCGCGTTCCGACAAATGAAGTGATTCGGTTTTGGCGAACCTTGCCTCGTTGGAAAGTCCTGCAGGCGGCCGCGTTCATTTGCGATTCTCGAGTGAGATAAGGGTGTATCGCGGCCATTGCGATCCTGCGCGGCTTTCGAAGTAGTTTATACAGCGACACTAGGAGGCCACAGAAGATCGTCGAGTGACGGCATTGATATTCGTACGGGAAGAGCGCTTCCCTCTGGCTGAGGATGACAGCTACGAGAGCGACCTTTGTGTGTTCAGATCCAGCTTCGTTGATGTCTGCTAGGTGCATCTACCGGGCGGAGAGAACAGACAAGTATGGTCCGCAACGATAGCCTGAAGGGCTGCAGGCCAAGCTCCTGTAACAGAATGTTCGAAAAGGGCATCAGTCGACGAGATGGACGCAAGCCCAGCATAAGGGAAGCAGCCGGAGAGGAGACCAAGTGAGATCCATATTCATACAGACGACCCCTGGCATCCTTGCACTGCAATGCGTTCAAGCAAACAGCAGCAAACGGAAAATGAATGCACCTGGGGAATGCGACCAGAGCAGGGATGCCGATGAGACTGGATGCCAGACCACGCAACATTTTGAGAGAATGGGTTGGTCTGGACGAATGCGGCATGGCCGCGTAGCATGCACTGCACACACGCACTCACTGACTGATTCACAAGCAGAAGGACTCGCCAACCTGCACAAGCAGCGAGATATGCATCTTGTGTGTTTTACACTACACGTCAGGCAGATTGCTTCACCAGAAAGAAGCTCCCAGGGTGCGCATGTACTCTGTATGTGTAGTAGGATCTGAGATTTCCAGTGAATGAGTGTGTGAAATGAGAAGAGCTCACACTTACACCCTTCCCAGGGTTCCCAACAGACTACCTAAGTAAGATAGGTACTTATCCATACCCTACCTAGGTAGGTAGGTACCTGCCTACCTGCAAGGAAGCGTGCGCCGAAAAAGTTGGAGGGCCTAGTCCAGGCATCCCCATTGGAGAGATTATCTGGCAAGAGTGATTACGCGCACTGTACCCTCTCCTTTTCGCCCCCCCGGCCCTCCATCTCTGCATCACCCATTTGTCTACTTTCACCTGTTAAGGGTGGGCTATAGCCTGTACAGTGCCCAGCTTATCCGATAACAAATCTTTTCTATCAACCCCCCCAATCTAGCAACTGCCCATCCGGCCTGTGACTTCCAGAATCACCTACTCGTTCAGCGGCGCCCGTAGACCGACAAATTTCTGGTCGACCATCCACGACAGAATTCAATCGCGATCAATTGCCACGATCCAACACCACCCTTTCCATCACTTTTGATCGTCGATTCCATCCCTACGACGCCCGGAAAATATCGTCGACACTCCGTTTTTGCCCAAAACGGATGTCGCGGCAGCTCATGACATGACTGAGGTCGGGCCTGCCGACCGCTCCAGGCTTTTGCGATCCAAACGCGATGAGATTTCGTAAGTAATTACACTGTTCGATAGAGCTCTCTCTTGCGAGCTCAGCGATACCAAAATCGTGGTGCTGACAATTTTTAGTTCAATTGTAACGTCGAGGAAGCGGAAGCTCCGACAGCTCTTCGCTGTCGCGACCGAGAGCGATGCACTCCCGACAAACGACTTCGCGAACCCTGACGCGCCGCCCACCTCAGCAGCCGAACTGCAATTCCTGCAGACTTGCGACATCTTACAGTACGTTTCGCCTGTCTTGTCGCGCTTTCCTCCTCCTCCCCTTTCTTTCTTTCCTTTTTTCTATTTGACCTGGTCGCGTTCGAGTTACCTTTGCTGCTGGTTCGTCGCTTACACGACTTACAGAGGGCGGAAGCTCAACGAAGCGAATGTTCCTCCCCGACCTCAACTGCGCTACGATGTCTTGCGGAACTCCCTCGATAATTCTGGCCTTTTCGCACCGGAGACTGCGCTCGCGCCTCCTGCCAAGCAAGATGCGTCGACCGAATTGCAAACGAAGAACACTACTGCGCCGTCTCAACGTCAGCCTGTAGCTGCAACCAGCGACACGAACGGCGTCGCACCGTCGCCTCGAACACTCGCCGGCTCTGCTCTTCCCTCATCGCTTCCGCCGAAGCCTCCGACGCCTGTATCTGCTGCAGCGACGCCAGCGACTGCGGCTCGACCCGAAGCTGTCAAACCCTCTGCTGTGCCCGCCTCAGTCCCCTCGCCATCGCCAGCAGCGGCTCCCACGAATGATCCTCTCCACGCATCACGAGGGGAGGCTAGCGAGGTTACCGATACTGATGTTACCGAGAAGCTTGGTTCCTCTCCCGTGCGCACTGCTGGCATCTCCAAGCAAGTAGGGTCTCGGCCAGCCGATGCGCCGCAGGTGGCTCCCCAACCCCCGGCTGTTCAGCTGCCCCCTCGGCCAGAGGCAAAGAAACCGGATGACACGAACCCCCCTACTGTGAAGTTGCCGTCCGATGCCACGAAGGTAGGAGATGGGTTCTCTTCACCAGGCTCGACAACACAAACAGCCGCGACCCCTGCTGTTCACGATGTTTCCACGGATACCAGCCCCGATAATGAAGGGCCTCAATATGTGGAACGGGTGGAGGGTCGAAGTGAGGCCGATGCAGCGGATAGGGTCGAGGAAGCAAAGGATTCCGATACCATGCGTTCTCCCGATGCCGATCCGTTCAATGGCAGAATTCCAGATGGGCCCGAGGCCCAGCTTCTCCAGGAGTCCATGGCGATGGACACTAAGCCAACACCACCGCCAGTTGAAACCGTCGCGAAGCAGCCGTCATCACCTACTGTTCCTGCTGTGTCCGTTGTACCTCTAAAGGATGCGCCAGAGCTGGTAACGTCCTCAGCCCAACCCATTTCCCAGGATGCTCCCCTTACGACAGTTGAGCCAAAGATTCCTGTTGCAGCCAAAGAAAATTCAGACAGCCAAGAGTCACAGCCCGCAGATAAAATGGACGTGGATCCGCCCACCAGTACCCAAACAGAAGAAAAACCTTCCGTCCAGGTACAAGATACCACCAGTGTCGAACCCTGCTCAGCAGGGCCCCAACCCCCATCTCAGGCACAACCGGAAGCACCCCGGGATCCAGAGCGAGCAGTCACTCGAACCGCCTCAGGCGCTATGAGACAGAAGTCCGTTGCCGAAATACTGGGAGAAACGAAGACTCAGATTGATCCGGGCGTCAAAGCACCCCTCAGTCAGCTTACGCCAATGACATCTACACCTCAATCTCCTAAAAGGCCAAAAACCTTTGCAACCAAGAAGAAGGAGAAAGAGAAAGCCAAGAATAAACCTTCCGCAGTAGTCTTTGGTAAGCAAAGCAGGCGATCTGTGGACAAGTCTATAGTGCCCAGTCAGCAGAAGCAAAGCTTTCTTCCCACGGATGATTACTTCACGCCACTCTTTGTTCAAGGCTTTACTCAGACATCGAAGTGGATGAAGCCCATCGAAGTCATCCTCAACCAATCCCATAAGACGGTCTCTACCCCAGATGCCTATGTGGCCATTCAAGATAACCAGGCATGCCGAGTGCTCCGCCGCGTTTATCACCTGCAGCAGCATGACAAATGGTCGCTGCGGCAGCCTAAGAGATGCCCGGAACCTGTGCGCCCAGAGTCCCACTTGGATGTCTTGCTCCAAGAGATGAAGTGGATGAGGACGGACTTCAGGGAAGAGAAGAAGTGGAAGCTTGCGGCTGCTCGCAATCTTGCACATGCTTGCGCGGAATGGGTTGCTTCGACCGAGGAAGAACGTAAAGACCTCCAGGTTTCCGCTTACATCCCGCCGAAGCCCCAGCCGCTTGACACTGAGGCTGACGCGTCAATGGTTGACGCTATGTTGGATGTTGCCGATGCCCAAGCAACACCTGAGTTGGTACCCTCTGGAGACCACGACTCCCCCGAGCACGTAGACGAGCTGCGTGAAGAGGTTCTTGAGACCGTCGCACCCTCTGCCATATTTGCTCTCGACGAGGACGACGTTGTATTTGAGCTTCGCAGTTCTCCGGCCGCCGACCAACTGCTGCAGGAGCTCCCAATGTACGGAGCGCCACTCAAAGTTCCTGCATTTGATTTCACTGGCCCCGAGTTTGATCCCGATGCGCACTGGCGCCGCCCAGCTCTTCCGCTGAGCAAATACGTCGAAGGCGAGATGAAACTTTCATCAGACGGCCCCCCAAGAAAACGGAGCCGATACCAGTACGAGGAAGAGGAAGATGACGATGACGAGAAGGTGGTGTTCGGATCTCAACCTACCAAGAAGATGAAGTTGCCGCCGCAGAACATCGACGTGGCTTTGTTCCATCCTGAGATGAAGTCAATTCGAGATCGCCTTCACGCGGGCCATCAATTCCGACCACCTGCAGAGTATCAGATGCCGATGCAGAGTTTCTACGAGTGCCGCAGCCCGTCACAGTGGACTTTGCCCGAGGACGACGAGTTGAGGAGTTTAGTTCGCGAGTACTCGTACAATTGGTCACTCATCTCCAGTCTCCTCACTCCGAGGTCTGTTTTCACATCTGGGGCAGAGCGGAGGACGCCATGGGAATGCTTCGAGCGTTGGATCAACCTTGAAGGCCTTCCTACAGATATGCAAAAGACTCAGTACTTCAAAGCATATCAGAATAGGATCGATGCTGCCAACCGCGTCATCATGCAACAGAACCAAATCGCTCAGCAACAAGCCGCTGGCTCGACAACGCCCGCGACGCCGGTCGCAAGGCGCAGACCATCAACGCCTTTGAGGGTTGAGCGGCGACGCAACCAGAAGCATTTGACGCTAATCGATGCCATGAGGAAGTTGGCCAAGAAACGAGAGACTGCAGCCCAGAAGCAGCAACATGCCACCCAAATGGCTGCTATGCGCAAGGCTAATGAGGCTGCGCAGCCCAGAGGCCCTACCAAAACGCCGAGAGATTATAGCCTGATGAGGTGGGAGCGTGACCAGCAACTCGCCGAGAAGGTGGCCCAATTCCACCAGCGCCAGGAGACTCAAAGAAGGATTGCCATGCAAGCACGTCAAGGTCAGGTCGCTGCTCAGGTTGCAACAACTCCTGGCACCGCTCAGGCGCAGCCAAACGCCGCGGCACAGGTCAACGGCAACATTCCCCGTCCCAACATACCTAATCAACTCGCTGTACCGGGTCAGGCTGGCCGAGGTCGTATGCCGATGCAAGCACCGACAGCCAATATGGGTGGCGTCCCGGCTCAAATGGGCGGGCTTGTACCTCCAGCTATGCAAATGAATGGAGTGCCTCAAGCGCAAATGCAAGCGGCGATGCAGGCCCAGCATAGGATGCCGATGCCTAACCCACAGCCCGACGTCAACCTCATGCTCCAGGCTCGCCGTATCTCGGAACAGCAACGGCAAGCTGTTCAATTGCAGCAGGCCCAGCAGCAGGCCCAACAGGTCCACCAACAACCACAGCAATCGCAGCAGCATCAACAACCGCAGCAGCAGCAGCAGCAGGCCCAGCAGATGCACCAGGGCACGCCAACCTCTCATGCGTCTCAATCTCATTCTCCGCCTAACATGCGACCTGCTTCGGTCAACGGTGTGAACGGTGCGAATGGTGTTAACGTTAACGGCGTCAACCAACAGAGCATATATGCAAATGCCCAAGCCATGATGGCGTCAATCAATACTGCCAATAGCGCCGGAGTATCAACACCTCCAGCTGGTGGCCTTCATATGCCCAATGGTACATCAGGTTCACCTCGGCCACTGACCCAGGTGCCTGCAAGTATTCAAGTGCAGCTGAACAACCTAGAGGCTCAATATAGGGCAAAGAACCCGAACCTGACACCCGAACAGGTCCGTCAAGCTGCTACAGAATACCTCACGCGCTTGATGATTGCACAGAGAACGACCATGTCGCAGAACGCTATGAATGCGGCTGCCGGAGGCGGAGGTGCTACCTCTCCTGGTATTGCTAATGGCCTTGCAGCCACCACCAGCCCCCACCAGTATGCTGCTCTGCTGAGGCAGCAACAGCAACAGCAAGCGGCTGCTGCTGCTGCTCAGAATGGGCAACCTCAGACTGGTCAGCACCAACAAGCACACCACCAGCAGCACCATGGTCAACAACAAGCACAGCATCATCACCATCAGCAGCAGCAGCAGCAGCATCATGCTCAGCAGCAACAGAATGGCCAGCAGCAACATGTCCAGCCGCAGCAGACTCAGCACCAGCAACACCAGGTTCGAGCTCAACCTACGCCACAGCCCCAGCACACGCCTCAACCCCCTCCAACGCAGCAGCTGCCGAAGCAGCCCCAGCATCAAGCTCAGCAAATCCAACGACCTCCATCGGCCCAGTCCACCCAAGCAGCGCAGCACCTTCAACAGGCCCAGGCCCAGCAAGCTCAAAAGGTGCAGCAACAACAGCAGACCCAGAAACCCCCAATGCCTCAGACGCCTCACACTCCTGCTCAACAGGCTCAGAAGCCTCCTACACCTCAGATGGCCCAGCAAGCACAGAAGCCTCCCACGCCTCACACTCCCGCCCAACAGGTGCAGAAGCCCCCCACGCCACAGATGCAGCAAGCCCAGACGACACCTCACATGCCTAAGGCCCCGACGCCTCAGATGCAGAAAGCTCCGACACCTCAATTGCAGAAGGCCCAGGCACCAGCAACACCTCAGCAGGCCCAGCAGGCCCAGCAGGTCCAGCAGGCCCAGAAGCAGGCCCAACAGCATGCACAGCAACAAGCCCAGCAAGTGGCACAACATGCTCAGCAGCAGCGTCAAGCTAGCGGCAGCGCAACGCCGTCTGCCACACCCGCCACGTGAGCTAGGTAGCAGGACCTGATTCCTACCGGCATCACCTACACCAAACCATCACAGGCAGACGACTTGGATGTCTATGAAGGGGGCTAAGACGATCGCCAAGGATGTGGCGAGAGAGACCACGCCTAGAGAAGGAACCGCGAAGGGCGCGGAAGGATGCCCACAAGGGAATGGAAAGATCAAGGCGCCTCCGCAGTGTCGTCGCGCTGTTCGCTGCCCCGTCCCGCCAACAAATACTTCATTTAGCGAGTTAGACGGCGTTCAAGAGGACGGGATAATAACGGGAGCGCGAGCATACATGTATATATAAGCAAAACACCCCACCAATTGTGAGATTCTCGCTGTCAGCGGAGAGGCTTTGACGCAGAAAAGGCACCCTAGCAACCCTAGGCTGTACATACCACTTTTTAAATGCGGCTCGGAAAGACGGACAGGTGGCGGCTGTAGTAGCAGCTACGCTGGGGAAGGGACTACCTACTATTAGATGGTAGAAGAAGGCGAGATACGCTATTGGCCTACGAGGAAAAGATGAAATGAAATGAAAAGAAGAAAAAAAGAAGTAAGGAAAGCCACCCCAATGTTTGTCACTCTCGTCATCCGTGATGTAATCTCTGTTGCCAGCTTGTGTTACGGCCCATCGACCGCGCTGATTCGTATGGTGGCTGAGTTCTCGGTCACCTACTCGGACAACTGCCCCTGATGGTCTATGCACCATCATCACATTACCAGACAATATGAAGTCGTTCCTTCGACGCCGGCCTGGCTGTTTTGTCGATCACAGCTAAGTCACCATAGGAGAGAATGTGACGTCGCGCACAACGAGCGGTGGTGCAGCAGAGTGAATTCATCAGGCTTACCATTGAGAAAACGTAGTAAGCAGGCCTTTAGGCATAAAGGCCAAGCCAGCTCTATAGTATACGCCCAGAACGCCGCCGTGATGCCTAAGCCTCCTAGCATCGCCTAGGAGTGCGTTACATGCCCGATTCTTGACGAGAAATCCCACCGACCGGCCTTGAACGGCATTTGCACAAGAAACCAACATCGCAAAAGAAAAGAAATATCGTTGATAAACAAGCACCCTAAACCTGGCCCGGGCCGGGGCCGGGGCCGTTCCCCCGGCTGCTCCCCCCATCGAGCAGCAGCTTTGGCTTGATATAGTCCTCATCCAGCTGCCTGAACAGACCCGCTGCGTCCTCGGCGCCGTGGCTAAAGAGTTGTCTAATGGCGGACGTCGCTGAGACGTGATGGGGCGCGGCGGCAGCGGCGGTTGTGGGCTCGGTTTGCGCGAGAAGACCACCGGAACTTGCCGACTGCGAGGTGCCAGGGATGCTCGGGCTCCTCCGGCGAGGCTCACGACGGGCTGGAGGCGGGAGATCTGACGTGTCGATGTCGCTTTCCAAGTCCGAGTCCGTTGTATTGCCGCTGCGGCCCAGGAGATCGGCTCTCTCGATTTCAGAGTTCTTGCGGCTGATACTCCCCTGCCTCTTGATCGGGTTCGGCGAATGTGAGCCGGAAACGTAACTACTGCGTTCCCCCCCGGCCGAAGGTCGAATGTCAGTGCGTGACCTAATGTTATCCAGCGAGAGGCTGCCATTCTGCCGAGGAGTGTAACCGATACCGGTGCCAGTGCGCTTAGCATATTGGCCGCCGCTGAAGGTTTCGATATCAAACTCATCGTCGCTATCGATTTCGTCTACAACACCAGTTCGAATACCAAGGATCTCCAGCATACGCGCAGTCGTGCCACCGAATATGATGACGGTAAGGACCACGACCACCAAAACTGTAGCCTTCAGTGCGTATGAGTTTTCGCCGGTGAGTAAAGCCGCAAGGGCGACGCCGACCGCTCCGCGAAGACCAGCCCAGAAAATCATGGCCTGATAGTTGTAAGGAAGCTCGTCGCTCACGTCTCCGCCTCTCCGGCGGGCCCTGTAACGAATGACCGAGTTGATAAGTCGGGACAAGGGGAACACCGCCACCCACCGTGCTGCGCAAACTGCACAAACGGTAATGATGATGAGGAGAGGCCGGAATTGCAAAGCATTGTCAGTGAATAGGGCGAGACCGAGATAAATAAAGATGAAATTTTCTGACAGCTGTGCCAGAATCTGGAAGATGAACTTGGTTGTAAGCTGGGTTCGCCGGGACATGTTGAAATAGGCGTAGTGCTTCAGCGTTATGCCGCAGAATAACAAAGACACAATGCCTACGAGGCCGTCAGCGATGTGCTCAGATGATTCAAGAAAGGAACGGGAGCGAAAGTCTTACCAGACATGTGGATAGCATGAGAGAAGAAATACGTTGCATATGCAACCAACACAACCAGGCAGCTTTCGTTCTTAGGGTATCGTCGAATGTAAGTGAGCTTTAGAAGCAGCGCCATCATAACACCCACAAGCACGCCGATCAACATACTACCGAAGAAGACAACCAGGAAGATGCCAATACCCTCGAAGAAGCTCAAGAAACCAAGTTTAGACGCATCGCCTTTCTTATACTTCTGTGCCGTCTCGAAGATAACAATAGCAATGGCATCATTAAGGATCGACTCGCCAAAAATGATGGTATACAATTTGGGATCGACCTTGTACGAGTTGAAGATGGCCAGAATGGTCACGGGGTCGGTAGCCGATAGGGTCGCGCCAACAGAAATGGCGTCGACGAACGACATGCTGATAGACTCAACTCCGGTCAGGGCGTAGAGCCATAGGATGAGGCCAATTACGACAGCCGATAGAAACGTTCCAGCAAAAGCGAAGGTCAAGATGGTGCCCATGTTTCTGAAAAAATTGGCCTGATGTAGCTCGTAGCCCGAAGCAAGAATGATCGGTGGTAGCAGTAGGTTGAAGAAGATTTGGTAGTTGAAGCTGATGAGGTTTCGAATCGAATCGCCCGAGGTCACGAGCAACAGAAGGCCCACAGTCATTCCTGTGCAACTAACTGTCAGGTGCTATCGAGCAGGTGAGGGTGAAGCGAAGGGACAAACCTGCAAAGATGGAGATGACCGTTTCGTGGACGGCCTCGATCTTTCTTTCTTGTAGAAAGTAACTCGTGAGGAAGGCGATGAGGAGAAGCATGATGGAGATGAAGAGCGCCCACGCCGCAAAGATCTCCTTCTGGGAGCCATCGGAGCCTGTATTATAGAGTCAGTCGCAATCGTTGTCGGGCGCGCAAAGGCCGGAAGGAATCGGTCGGCAGCGTACTCTCAGGGTCGCCCTCTTCGGCGGCACGTTCTAGCAAAGCAGTGTCAGTTTGCGCATCTGAGCCAGCAAAGGCAGAATATCGAGATTACATACGAACAAGGCGCAGGGCCGTTCCCGCGATATCTGACGCCGATATCATTCTGAAAGAGCGGGTTTACGAGTTCGGCGTTCACGGGTTGGTGACGGAGTAAGATCCAGAATCGAGCGGGAAGCAGGCTGACCGGCGGCTCGCGCGTGAGCTCCGAAAGTGACAAATGGCGATCATGAACAGGCCAGCTCGTCGGACGCCGAAGAGTCGAGGAGGAGGGGTCGGGTAGGCGGAGCTTCGTAGGCTGACGACAAGAGGACAAGGTAGCTTTTGAAATGTATTGCTAGGTTTCAATGTCAATACAATGCGAAGAGTAGGCACCGGATTCATGTAGGTGTCCACTGGAGGTATCGATGCAGGGAGCCGGCCACTGGTCGGAGGCGTCAATGGCTTTAGGTGGCTGACTATAGCTATGGGGATGCAGTGATTGGTCGCCGTGCCGGTTGGCAGTTGGACGTTTGCCTGCGATAGCCTTGGCGGGGTGGTAGAGTTACATAGAGCATGGGCAGGTGTCGCTGGCTGAAGGTGAAAGTCGAGCGCCAAGCGTCGGTCTCGAAGTACCGAGTACATAGGCACCGGTTTTCGTAGCTCCTGAATACGGTTAGACCGGATCCCGACAGGGATGCTTACTAGACTAGAAACGCCTAGTGGGATGAAATACCTGAAAGTGACGTTTGAGCTGTTTGGAGAACACCCGATTTTTGTATATATGGAGACATGCTTCTTATTACATTAAAGGGGTGGGAAAGCTCGCGGCGGGTGCTCGCTCCGCCCAACTAGCAGAGGTCTAGATTCCTGCGGATACTAGTAGAATCTCGGGCAAACCAGGCCCATCGCAACCGAACCCATTGCTCCTCCTCCTGGCAGAGGGGCAGAGGCCCGGATGGGTGGACTGGGGGGCCGTAAGAGATCCAGGGAAAACAGTAGTTCACGGGGCCATGCAAGCCGAGGGTGTTGGGAATGGTGGGTGCACTTGACGGGAAGACATCTGACACCTTGCACTTGGGAGGGTGTTGTCGAAAGACTGGCTGGGAAACCGGGGTAGCACTTGATCAAGATCCCTCGTGGGGAGAGCTAATTAATCTGCCGGAGACAGATGTTTGGCCGCACGCGACTATACGGGGCTGGCCACCATCGATGTGAGATGGTGAGATTGTGCCCTACGGTACCTTACCTGGCCTGCCCGAGGAGGTCTTATGCACAGCAGCGCACGAGGCTTACACATGAATTTCCGGAACCCATGGCCAGTGATGGAGTTTGTACGCAAAGGTTGGGTCTCTGGAGGTGCCTTTTTTTTTTTTTTTTTTTTTTTTTTTTTAAGTCTGTTGATTATGCTTTTCTGACCGTCACGCTAGATCAGATAGAATGACAGAATGCCAACGTCGCCGTGCAGGGCTTCTCCAGTAGTGCAGGTATCGAATGGAGTAAAAGGTGGACGGTTCGCTTGGGAACCACAGATACCCCTAAATACCTACCTAGATACCGGTACCGGTAGATAGCTAGATAGGAACAAATGGGGCGGGCGGGAGAAGGAGCTACGGGGATGACGTACCGGGTGCGGGGTGTGTCCTTGAGCACAGCAGACAGACCCGGAAGCAAGGTCTATTCTCTTTGACCGTCACTGTGCGATGCCATCGTGACTTTAACTTAGAGTCTCGGGTAACGGGCCTGTCCCCTCTTGCGGAACCTGCGCTGTTAGCCGTGGAAGATTC